AACAAAAAGCTTAAAGCCAATAGAAATAAAATATACATAAAAAGATAAAAGTAAAAGTATCTAGCTAAAAAGTAAAAGGAGTAATTAAAATCTCTAAAAGCTTAAGAAGCAAAAAGTTACTAGAAAATGAAATTGGCAAAAGGCTAGCAAAACACTAGCTAAAAAGGTAAAAGAAGCTAAATTCTTGTGAAATGCTAAAAAAAACTAAACGCTAACTTTCAGCAAAATGTTGCAAAACACAAGCCAAACATTGCAAAGTGTTAGCTAACAGGTGAGCTAAAAGCAAAACTGATTGCTAGAAAGCTAAAATCACCGAACAGCTAGTTAAATCCTAAATGTAGCGTAAGGCTAGTTAATAGCTTAAGGAGAAAATGAGCAACTAAAAGCCAAAAGCTAATGGATAAAAGTAAGAAAAACACTAGCTCAATGGGAAGAAGCAAACCTCTYACTGCTTCAAAAATTTAATGCTAACTAAAGCAAAATGCTAGCCAAAAGCAGCTAAATGCTAAATGTAGCAAACATGCTAAAGTTTCAAGACAAAATAATGTACAGTATGTAAATGTAAATGAACATGATGACAATAATGCTTAGCTACCATCATATCAAATTTTAGCCCAATATCTAGAAAAACGACTGTGTGAAGCCCATGTACGTGTTTGCTRATGCTAATTAGCTGTGGCAGGAACAGAACTGACTCTGAAGGTTAACTCGGTTGTTTCAACCCGGTTCTAACGCTCAGTTCAGCTGTGGTGGTCTGCCTGTTTTCCTCCCAGCGTCTTCAACTCAAACCAGAACAAATGACCGTGCAGACAGGCTCGGTGAGGAGCAGGAAGTGCTTCTCCACGTTCCACAAACCATTTGTTRGCAGTGAACTCAGATCCTCCAGTCTGGAAACCAGACAGAAACYGAGAACCTGGGGAGTTGGTGTGTTTACACAAACATCATCAATCCTCCAGCAGGCCGAGAGTTTTCTTTTGTCTTTTTCCTTCCTGCTCGGGGACGTGCAGTTCTGCTTAAATAAAGTTATGTTCAAACGGCAGCTTGTTGCAACCTCAGATGATTTATTTCCCACAATTCCTTTAAGGGAATCATCGTTTTTCTCATCAGGGCTCGGAGTTCTGAACGACGCTCCGGAGATCCAACCCGCAGTGTGTGAAGTTCATCCAGCGCGCAGAGATGGTTTCTGCAGGACAATCGGTGTTTTTAACGAGGAATCCTGATGCAGCCGTGTGCCAGGCGTCGGCTGGACGAGCAGCTGCTGGTCAGAGCGACGCTGCTGTCCTGCCTGCACTCATTCTGATAAGGATTCATTACTTTGGTATGAACAGATCAAATCTGACAAAACCCATCACTGTGTTAGGTTAAAGTTATCATAATAAGATTTAAATATTAAGGATGAGAATCCTGCAAGTCYGCATGCCAACAAGTGTTAAGACAGCTGGGAGGCGGCCATTTTGAGGGTCTAAACAATTAACAAACATCTGCTGCCGTATCTTATTGATATTTTCATCAACKTCTTCCAGATGTTAAAGCCAGGTTTGAACACCTATCACTATTCAAGTAAAAAACCAGGTTGGATGTTTTTATTTTTAAATACAAAGAAATCTATAAATACATTTGGCAGGTAACTGGAGTATAACAGAAACTTTGAGCTARTCTTTTTTTCTTAACCTTTTTAAGTTATTTTTTTGCTACTTTCAGCTGTTGTAGCTTTTAGCTAGCCTTTTCATTCGTTTCTAGCAAGCTTTTTTTATAACTTTTATTTTTTAGCTAGGTTTTGCTACCTAAGTGACCAACTGGTTTTAGAATGATAAATTCAATAAACGAGCTGACCCACCTAGCATAAAAAGCTATTAACAGTGTAGACGGTACTAGTTTATGAACATTTGTTTAAATTTAGGGCATCTTCATGTCAGCCAGGGGTGGGCACAGCTAACCAAAAAGTTCACGTTGCTAACACTAATCTAATAAAACGGATACAAAAAATTAGTGGAAGCTAACGCTAACCGCTAAGACAACTGGTGGGACTGGCACACACCTGGTATTAGTTTTCTATTGGCTTCTTTTGAAGGTGGGCGGGATCATCTGTAGCAAATCGGCCAATATAAACCAGAGGTATAGCTCCGTCTAACTTGTGACACTTCCAGTTTAACCCTTTCAGATTAAAAGCACTTTTAGATCAAGTTTGTACTTTTATAAATAATGTTTCAAGTTAGTCAAACAGTAAATATTTTCTCTACCAAATTTATAAGTAGACAATTCTTGTATTTATTTTTTGTTAAATATTTTAATGTTTGACGCTCTTAGTTTGAAGTTTAGCTGCTAAAGTTGCTACATGCTAACACACATGGTGCCTGACACGTCCGGCACTGCTTGTAAGAGGGGATAGTTTTTATTTAATTTGGGATACATGGTATAAAATTAGCAAAAATGATTCTAAAAGCTAAAGGTAACAAAAAGCTAGGTAAAAAAAATTAAAGACTCATAAAGCTGGATAGACACTAAAATGCTCAAAATGCTAGATAAAAGCTAAAATAAGCCAAATGTACCTAAAAGTAGCAAGCAGCTAACTAAATCTTAAAGGTAGCAGTAAGCTAGCTTAAAGCCAAAGTGGGTTTTAGCTGTTTCTAAAAGCTGAAGGCAACAAACAGCTAGCTAGACAAGAAAACTATCAAAAGCTAAAAATAAGAAAAAGCTATCTAAAAACCATCAGAAGCAAAACCCAAGCAGAAAGCTAATAAAATCAAAAAACTACATAAAAGAGAAAACAGCTAACTAAATCTTAAATGTAGCAGTAAGCTAGCTTAAAGCTAAAGTAACAATAAGCTAGCTAAAACAAAGTAGTAATACAGTTTCTAAAACCTGAAGGTAACAAAAAGCTAGTTGGACACTAAAATGACCAAAAACCCAGCTAAAACCTAGCTCAAAAGTCTAGCTAGACATTAAAACTATCAAAAGGCTAGCTAAAATCTTAAAAGTAACAAAAACCTATCCAAAAACCATCAGAAGCAAAACTCTAGCATAAAGATAATAGAAGCCAAAAAACTAGCTAAAAGTAGCAAACAGCTAACTAAACCCTAAATGTAACAGTAAGCTAGCTAAAAGCTAAAGTAGCAAAAAGCTAGCTCAAAGCTAAAGTTACTGTTCATTTAATTTGGGATAAACTACATGAAATTAGACACTTAGTGAAGGTTTTAGTGGACTTAAAATCAGCAAAACCTAACATAGTGGAAGCTAATCGGCCCGCTAAAGTTAGCAAAAAATCTAAACAGCTAAATAAGAAATTAGGTCAGCTGTTAGCATCACTGAGACCGGCCGTTAGCCTTTTCAACAGTTTCTAAAGCAGAGTAAATGTCACATATTTTAGGTATTTTCTACTGCTGCAGCTCTCTTTGTTTACAACATTTAGGTCCCTCAAAATGGCAGAACCAGGCAAGCGACCTTGAAGGATCGTGTTACCGGCGGCGTCTTCTATAAAATCCTGACGCACGGCTGAGTGAACGCGACATGTCGGAGGGTGACGTGTGGCCGACACACTTACTGAACCGATGCCGTCCATCAGCGTCAGCAGGGACGCCACGACTCGTTTCTCCACCTCGTTCTGAGCGCCGTCTCGCTTCGGGCACAGAGCGTCGAGCTCGTCGATGAAGATGATCGCGGGCCGCCTGTCAGGTTCACAACGAGATGACAGAAGAGCGTCAGATCTCCGCTGTCAGATATAAATGTGGATAAAATCTGACAGCGGATTCATTAAGAACATTAAAATGACACCAAACTGTTGATTGTCTCAAGTAGGAAGRAAGTTCTGGACGTTTGTTCAGGTTGAACAGCTGAACCAACAGGACCTGGAGAACATTTTACTTTMTTTTTGCTCAAAACTTCCTGAACATTCAAGATTTCGTCATCAAATTTTAGGAAAAGAGCCACGTTCTGTGTTTTGTAGGAAAGGTCTTGTATCCTAAAAACAATTACTTTATAAAAAACAATGTAAACGTAGCAGAAAAGCAATAAAATAATATGTCACCAAACTGCAACAGAAAGTCAGAAAATAAACAACCTCTGAGACGCCTCGGTGAATATCTGCCTGAGTCGTCCTTCTGTTTCACCATAAAACCTGCAAAAAAAAACAACACAGAAATAATCTAGTAAATAAAAACCCAATAAATAAACAATCCTATAAATAAATAATCCCATAAATAAACAATCCCATAAATAAACAAACCTATTCATAAACAATCCTATAAATAAATAATCCCATAAATAAACAAACCTATAAATAAATAATCTAATAAATAAATAATCCAATAAATAAATAATTTCCAATAAACATCCCTATGAATAAACAATCCTATAAATAAATAATCTAACAAATAATCCAATAAATAAACAATCCAAAATTCAATCCTATAAACAAATAATCCAATAAGTAAACAACCCTATAAATAAATAATCCATCAAACAAATAATCCAATAAATAAATAACCCTATAAATAAATAATCTTATAATTAATCTAATAAACAACCCTATAAATAAATAATCCAACAAACAAATAATCCAATAAATAAATAATCTAATAAATAAATAATCCAATAAATAAATAATCTAATAAATAAATAAATAACCCCATAACTATATAATCCAATAATCTGTAACTCCACGGGTCACTACTCAGTGTTTGAGTCGTACTTGCTCACGATCTCAGGGCCGTTGATCACCACCATGTGAGCTCCGACCTCGTTGGCTATAAATAAACAATCCTGTAAATAAATAACCCCATAAATAAATAATCTTATAATTAATCTAATAAACAACCCTATAAATAAATAATCCAACAAACAAATAATCCAATAAATAAACCCTATAAATAAATAATCCAATAAATAAATAATCTAATAAATAAATAAATAACCCCATAACTATATAATCCAATAATCTGTAACTCCACGGKTCACTACAGTCAGTGTTTGAGTCGTACTTGCTCACGATCTCAGGGCCGTTGATCACCACCATGTGAGCTCCGACCTCGTTGGCTATGGCTCGTGCGATCATGGTCTTTCCTGTTCCTGGGGGTCCGTACAGCAGGACCCCTCTGGGAGGCGGGATTCCTGTTTGAAAACCAACGTGTAAAGATTTGCACGCGTTGAGGTGAAACGGTGAAACGCTACAGATTAAACGGTTAAACGCTGGAGGCCGGCGCACCGTAGYTGGAGAAGAGCTCGGGACGCGTCAGAGGAAGCTCGATGGTCTCTCTGATGACGTCCAGCTGGCTGCTGAGACCACCGATCATGCCGTACGTGACCTTTGACCTCTGGACTTCGTCCTGCGAGTCCGTCGGCGCTCGTCTGCTTGTGAACGTGACTTTGGTGGAGCAGGAGAGGGAGTAGAAGGTGTCGGTGCCGGTGAAACCAGCAGGGGGCGCCGTGAGCTCCGCCTGCTCTGAGCTCGGATGCGAGGCGGCGGGCGAGGCGAGGCGGGGGGGAGGGGCCGGTCGGCGCGGGGTGCTGGAGGCGGGACCCGACTCGTCCTCCACAGTGAGCCCGCTGAGCTGCTGGGACAAGTCAGCCGACACCAGGTCCAACACGGACGAGTCCTCCGCTCCCAGGAGGACAGGAGGTCTCTGCAGGACCACTCCCTCCTCCCCCTTTATGGTCTCGACACGGAGACCGCAAGAACGTCCGAAATAACTCAAAGTTAGGATATTTCCAGGCAAGATGATGTTTCCAACTGGTACAGAAAATAAACAAATAACGTGATATTTATATCAACATATTTAAATCATTTTAAAGTGTTTTTCTTGTTGCTGTGTGAACTCACCTAAAGTTCTCAGAAAGAAGTTTTTAAAATCATCCGTTTCTAGTTTTTCATCTTTTAACCTGAATAAAAGGAAAAAAGTTAACAGATTAAATTTTTCTTAAAACAAAAAGAAGTGCAAAGGTTCTCTCCTATAAATTTGATTTGATTTAATACACAAAAAGTTAAACAAAAAGAACACAACAAC